AAACTGTCAACTTCTTGGTTAGCAGCTGAACGCTTAACCGCTGTGCTATCAGAAAGATGCAAATCAAAATCATGAGATGTATCTCACCCCCACTAGAATGCTTATAATATATATATATATAATTATTAAATAACGGGTGATGTCAAGGAGGTGAAGAAATTGGTACCTTTGTCCACTGCTAGTGAAAATGCAAAATAGTATTGTGGAAAAGAGTTTAGCAGTTAACTCAAAAAGTTAAGTACAGAAATACCATATGACCCACCAACCCAATCCTAGGTATATACCTGCAAGAATTGAAAGTAGGAACAGAAACGGATGTGTGTGCACCCAAGTCCACTGCAGCTCTGTTCACAACAGCCAAAAGGTGGAAACCACAGAAATGCCCATTCTTACATGAACAGATGCACACAATGTGGTCCTTCCATACAATGGAATATAACTCAGTCATAAAGAGAAATGAAATGGTGAGGATTGCTACATGGCTGAACCTTGAAAATATGACACAGAGGGAAGTCAGTCACAAGAGGGCACATACTACGTGAACCCACTTATATGAAGTAGGCAAATGAAATCAAAGCTTACTAGTGGGTACCGGGGGTGGGGGTGGGGAGTCATTGCTTAGGGGGCACTGAGCTGTTCATGGTGGTGGAATAATCTGGAAAAGGAAAGTGGGGTGCTCGCACAAGATGGGTGCAGTCAACGTCACAGACTTACGCATTACAACACTGTTGACTTGGCAAATGTTTGGTGATATTTTACCACAAGTTGAAAAACAAAGCGAGTAAGCTTCTCACCAGGTTGGCATGCCAGAATGCCTTTAGTGGAGGGCCCGGATCCACCTCTGAGAAACATGACCATCAAAGAGGGCAGTGCGCCCTGTCCATGGGGGAGTTTAAGCCTACACACTGGGATCCTTCACGTAACCTCCTATTTGTCACAAAGATATGAGAAATTGTATTATTTCTTTTGATAAAAACCCTTAACTCGTATGTAATGGATGGCATCTGCCTGGTGAGATTTCTTTTCCTCTCTGCAACCCATAGTGACTGCCTGTGATAGGCACTGTAGGGTGGTTTGATGCTCATGCAATTGTAAAACGGTTTTCTTTCTTCCCTCCTGTATTTTGTGGAGAGGAACAATTTCTGGGTTAGCAGATTTAATTTTTTAACTCTGTTTCCCCACAAAGAAGAGGAGGGTAAGTGTGGGATAAGGAATTTAACTTTTGGTCTTTGCCCTTGTTTCCTGAGAGAGAACTCAAAAGTCTTTGGATTCCCTGAGTAACTGAGGTACCTTTACTATTTATATATGGGAGCTCTGGTGGCATAATGGTTAAGGATGCTAATTAATAATCTGGCGGCTAACCAGAAGGTTGGTGGTTTGAACCCACCAGCTGCTCTGTGGGAGAAAGATGAGGCAGTCTGCTTCCATAAAGTCATAGAAAACCTATGAGGCAGTTCTACTCTGTCCTATAGGGTCACTATGAATCTGAATCAACTCAATGGCAATCTTTTTTTTTTTTTTTTTTTAATCTAAACAATTCCTGAGCATTTGGGCAAACAAGTAGGGGCTGGCCAGACCAGAGGCACCAACTGGTAGCCTGTTATCAACAGACCTCACGGAAGGAGGGAAAGAGGGAGATGATTTAATGAGTACGTCTATGCAATGAGGCCTCGATCGTGACCAGCCAATGAAGTCAACAAAGGCTCTGGACATGGAAACTCCATCGGCTTCATGGAGGGTAGCAGGGCCCTTTTGGGACATGGAAGTTCTGTGTTAGGCAACTGTCCCAGACCTGGCTTCATGTGTCTTTCTCTTTTATTTATTTTATCCTATTTTGTACAATAAATCTGTAATTGTAAGCATAGTGTGCAGTGCTTTCTTTTGGTCCTAGGAGTTGTTCTGGCAAATTAGTGAACCTGGAAGAGAGGTAAAAAGAAGTTGGGGACCCAAGGAAGGGCTAGACATCCCTGAATGTGTGCCCAGCAGGTCAGAAGTGAGGGTTCCATATGGACTCCCAGATTTGTGGCTGGCATCTATTTGGCAATCTGAAGGATGGCATCCTTTTAACTTGTGAGATCTGAGCTAGCTCTTGGTGGCTATGGTCAGAAAAGAAGTATCTCACAAGAAGCTGGTGTCAAAACTGAACAGAGAGAAGTGGGAAGTGGAAATCTGTCATGTCACCATCGCTGAGGACAGACCAGCAGGATTCTGAGATTTCCACTCTACACAGCTGGTGCCAGAGAAGTAAAAATGCAGCATCTGATTATGATTTCAGTTCTCGTTGGTGGTGTTGGAAGTAGGATTAGCTAAAAGGACCCCAACTCATTCAAGTGTGGTTTTTTAAGAAAAAGAAAGGGCAGGGGATGAGAAGACGCAGCAAATAAGATGAAGAAAGAAGTGAGATGCAGTAAGAAATCGCAACTGTGCTTCAATCAGTTACCAAGGCAGAACACAAGCTGGGGAATTTAGAGGTGTGGGAGCTAACTCCTGGAGAGCTGGTTCACCGGATGCACAAGGAAATGCCAGGGAGCAAGAAAAGAGCGAAATACACAATTCCTTGGTTACTGCCACCTGTAACAGCCAAAAGGGAAAGTCAGTCATGAGCCAGCTTAGACACTGGCCAGAGGGAAGTAGAGCCTTTAGCCTTAAGACCCCTACCATAGGACTGTATTTTGGGGGAAAGATCCTGATGCTGGACTAAGTTCTGATTCTGGCTGGCCAGAGAGACAGCCACCAGTTACGAGCCATTTCCAAAGAAAAAAGCTATGTTGAAATAACAGATAGCAAAGAAGCCTAGACTGATTCCCAAGAAAATAGCAAAGACTGAGGGGAGCATCAAGGAACTCTCCCTAGCAGGGTGGAAGCTTTAAAAGGGTTATTAAGAAATGAGACGAATAAAGCAGGCATTGATGGGGGAAACAAAGGGTGTGAACCAGTACTACAGGAGCTTAAAGAGCTCTAGGGGCACAGTACTTAAGCACTTGGCTGCTAACCAAAAATGATTTTGGTGGTTCAAACCCACCAATCACTTCATGGGAAAAAGATGTCGCAGTAGGCTTCCATAAAGATGGACAGCCTTGGAAACCCTGTGGGGCAGCTCCACTCTGTCCTCTAGGGACCGTGAATGGGAATGGACTCCATGGCAGGGGGTTTGATTGGGGCTTTACTTCCATGAAGACTGACAGCCTTGGAAACACGACAGTTCTACTCTGATATACAGGGTCACTATGAGACGAAACTGACTTGACAGCAGTGGGGTTGGTTTTTTTTTTTTTTTTAGCAAAAGAAGAGAACACTCACAGGGGCCAGAATCACACTGCACAGACCAGTGAGTGAAGGGCCAAGTCTCCCGCCTTCCCCAGCTCTCCCCCCGAAGCGATCGTCGTGGCTGCTTCTTCCAGGAATTCTGACTTTATTTCTGAAACGTCTGTTACTAACAGGGCTGGAGAGCTGTACGGAACGCGGGCTCCTTGTCAAGAGGAAGTGCCTGGCTCGGTCAGAGACAGAGGCTAAGTCAGGTCTCAATTACAGACACAGGACATTTTCTTGAACTCTAATACAGAATTGAGATCTGAACAGATTGCACCTTTTTTAAAAAAATAAAATAAAACACAGCTCAGCTTTGAAGTCAGATTTCACTTTATTTCCCTCTATCCACAGCAGGACAGACCCATCACAGACGAATAAAACATCACACATTGAGTCACCTGGAAACAACCGATTAACTAGGTGAAGTGCCAGACCTTTCAGAAAAAGCACGTGCCACACTTGAGGTTCAGAAGAGCTAACACTGACCCAATGACCCTGCACAGAGGTCTGCACAGCCGTGTCAACAGCCGAGGGCCCGACACTCCAGAGAGATTTCAGAGGAGAGCGCCTGTCACTTTCAGCACTGCCCGTAAGCAGCGAAGTGAGTGCCCACAGAGAAAGCGAATGCCTACAGGAACTGTCTTCCCCAAGCGGGGAGGAGTGCACACGCAGCAATCACATTTTTCATGATCTTCCTGAGACCTAAGGCAACCACACGCCTGCAGCTACGAGACACTGCGAAGCCTGAACAGGAAGCAGCTCTTCACACGATGGTCACCCCCACGTGTGGAACTGAAAATCTAAGGCACGCTAAGATGCCGAATCAACCTTTAGCTCTTTTGTGTTCTGTCCACGAAAAGGGCCACACAACTGGGTCTGTCTGCTGAGCAACTGAATCTCATGCAGCCTCCACAGGCCATCCCTGCCCAGGGCTCCTGTCTCAGGGAGAATGAGGGCTGTCAGAAAGGCAGCCAGCACCACACCAAGGATTTCTGTCACTTGGTGTGAAGCGGTACTTCTCAACTGGCATAAGCTGATGCCCTGGCGTCGAAGACTACACAGCAAACCGCCGGCAAGGCCTGGGCCAGCAGAGGAAAGGAGCCTGCAGACCTGACCAACGGCTGGCTGGCCTGTCTGCTCTTATCTCTGCTTTCCAGGAAGAGGCTCGTCTGAGCTGAGCCAAGTTCAGCAGCTCCTTTGAACCTAGGGCAGCTCTCTGCTGCTCTGGGTGTTTCTGCCATTGAACTGGAGGCTCCTAATCCGGCTCTAATCCTAATAGTGCTCCGAGCCTCTGCCTGGGCCGTGGGTAGCGCCTAGGGAAGCAGATGAAACTAATCAGGCCACAGCCCATCAAAGGAAACATGAGCCTTTTACCAGCTGTGGACGGGACCTCCCCGCAGTGCGGTAAAGGCCATGGAAGAAAGCATTTTACCACAGGGGCCCACGGTTGTCAAGTTGTCCTCGACTCCATCTTCCCTCAAGCTCTCTCCTCCAACCACCACGCTGTTTCTCCCTGAGGCACGCATCCTCCTTGTTAGCTTATTTCTGAGATAGGCCAGTTTTTGTGGTTTACTCAACTAACCGTGCCATCAGGCCTGTAGGGATAGAGGGCAAAACCAAACAGACAATGCTCTCAACATCTGGGCAACGTGCCACGCGTCCGGCCTGCCCACGGGGCCAGCTGCGCTCTCCTAGGCCGGGTCCTCTCCGTCCATGGCCGCGTCCTCCGCGCTCCTCTGTGGCTCAGCCTCGGGCTCTGCCGGCAGGATGCTGGTGACAGTGTGGAGCAGAGCCTCGATCTGCTCCTCCGTGAGCCGCTCCTCACTCTCCTCCACTATCTGCAGAAGAAGAGAGAACCCGGGGTCCGTGAGCCCCACAGCCCGGGTCCATCCCACCCCCAACTGCTATACACGCAGCCTGCTCCTAGGCCACCCAGGTCTCAGACCACACCATGTGGCCCACAGGAGGGCCAGACCAGCCGACACCCTGGGGTCAGCGACAAGAGCCAGCCGCAGGACAGCACGCACATTTATTTAAAGGAGAAGACAAGCCTAACTGTTCATCCCGTCCACAGCCATAGGAGACTATGCTGTACACTCAAAGGCAAGTGGCCTGGGGAGTGAACGGCCACTATGAACCTTTGCGTTTCAGGGCAAGCACATCTGTACATCTGTAACTTCACAAACGGCTGCAACTACTCATGTGCTGCGTGCCCACCATGTGCCAAGTGCTGTGCATGTGCTTCCTAATACTCACTACCCCCACCACTAACACCAGCCCCCGGAGGGCCACCCATGTGCCCTTTACATCCATCCATCATTTAACTCACGTAACAACCTGAGCAAGGGACAGAACTAGATTCCAAAACCAGGTCTTCCCAGCTCCATAGCCCACATCACACGCCCCTGACCATGTCCTGGGGATGCAGACCATGGGCCCAGCGAGTGAGGGCTCTTAAACCACCCCTACTACGCCATCAGAGCTCCACCCAAAGCCTGCTTCCTGACATGGGCCCTAGATCTGAAAACCCCAATGTGTGCAATCAGTGGCCGGGGCCACAGCCTAATTACTAAGTCTCAATACAGCCATAAATTCAAACCACCTTTAGAATCAACCACCTTTTTTATTTTGGTGGTAAAAACATAGTAAAACCCGTGAGAGTCAGAACCAACATAAAGCAGAACCTGTCAGAGAAGGAAAAACTCACCTGTAAGTCTTTCCCGCTAACTATAGAGTGAAGGAAAAGCAGTACTGCATCCTAAGGCGGAACACTTGAGAGGCCGGAAGAGCAGGGCGCTCCCATCAAGTGCCGGCTCCCACAGGTCTCGCGTATTTCACGCACCTCCACAAAGCAGTCCACAGGCCATCACACTCCTTATCCACGCTCCCTTGGTGGACTTAACCACAGGTCACAAACACCTTTCTCGGCAAATGGTGGCATTTCCCACATCAATCTGTCAGCTCAGACTAAAAGGAGTTCCAGAAAGCAATCCTGGCAGATAAATAAAGTGAGGGAAGGAGGACAAGCTAGAACTATGATGCTGGCGAGGACCTCAGTGTGACTCCCTGCTGTACAGAGGTCAGAGAAGTCAGGTGACACATCCAAGATCATACAGCAAACCCCTGAAGCAAGGATGGGGAGACTTCATCTTGTTGACTTTGTTATCAGGAGGGACCGGCCCCTGGAAAAGGACATCATACTTGGTAGTAGAGGGTCAGCAAAGAAGGGGGAGACCCTCAACGAGATGGATTGGCACAGTGACTACAACAACAGGCTCAAACATGGCCATGACCATGAGGGTGGCGCAAGACCAGGCTTTGTTCCGTTCTGTTGTACACAGGGTCGCTGTGAGTTGGAACCAACGCGACAGCACCTAACCACAAAAAGCAGTTCTAGTGACACCTGTGGTTTCCAGCCAAACAAAGTACAGGCATGTGAATTAAACATTTACCTCAGGTAGACACACGCCCTGGAGAGAACAATCATGGGAGAAGGAAGGGCTGCTTATGCACAGGGAGATAGCTCAGGGCGCAGAAGAGTATGGAGGGATGGATACTGGGAAGAGGTAACTATGGGGAGGAAGTGGGAGGGGAGCTGTTGCATTGTAAATTTTGGTCAATGACATGAGACAAAGTATATTATGTGAACTGCTGTATGAAAAGTGAATTTACTCTGTAAATCTTCACCCAAATCAAAATAAAATTTAAAACAAAAAAAAAAGCAGTTCTAACTCTGTTAGAACTCTCTAGTGCCCCACAGAATGGAGGAGGAGGAAGGTGGAGAATATCAAAGTTGGTTACTTAATCCAGAGAAAAGATGTCCCCGCTGGAGAACACAATGCTCCCAGGTCTGTGAGAACTCTACGTACAGCTGCTGGGAAGCGACCGTGTGCAGGGGGAGAGGGTGAGGCGATCTCAACCTCCCCCCACATCGTGCTGTGCTCCCCAGGTCATGGCGGGCCTCCCGGAACCACTGCCCCCAGAGCTTCTCAGGACCCCTGCACAGAGATGGGACGATTGACAGGTGAGTACGTGGGGGCTCCACACTACCAGGAAAACCTGAGTTGGGTCGTGTGGTGAGGCACAAGCAGTTTTGTCTTTAAATCCCAAGCTCTTCAAAAAAAGTCAGTTACAAAAGGACAAATGCTGCATGATCTCACTTCCTGAAGTAAGTAAATACATAGAAACTCAGATTACTAGTGGTCACTAGGATGGGAGGGAGGGGGACAGGGAGCTGAGGTTATGCCGATGGCAGCAGAATGGCCAGAAAAGGACAGGGCAGGTGGGGGACTGACTCAGGGTGTGATCGCTGCATTGTGCAGGGAGAAGCTGCAGGGGTGGCACAGGCTTTGTTACACATGTTCTCTCCCCCGTAACTAAAGAAGAGAACCCCAAGGTCTTTCTGGAACGCCATGCCTCCAGCAGGAGGCACCCATCATTTCCTCGCAAAGATGCTGTGCCGGGACTGGCTGGTGTGACCCATTGGGCTCTCTGAGCCTGAGGGGCCTTCCTTTTCAGGAAACCAGAGAGGGCCAAGACCGTGAGAGGCTGCCTTTCTGCCAGTACCGACCTGGTGACAGCCAGGTATGCTCCCGGCAACGGGGCTGAGGAGCCCTCTCATGCCAAATACCCCAATAGGAGCAGTTTTATCAGCACTCAACCCTCAGAAGAGTCACAGCCGGAACCTTCTTCCTTCAACCTAAGATCTCCAGTTACAGGAAGAAAATCTAAGCTTCATTAAGCTAAATTAAATGGACACCATAAAGAAGTTTTCAGAAACCACACACCGACTAACCCCTTGCATCACTCGAGGAAGTGACCCTAACTACACTGTTCCTTTTCACCCCAACAACAGAGAAACAAAAGTCAAAGGAAGGCTGGTCCGACACGGCACCCCAGCTCTCTCAGACGCTCAAGGTCCCAGCTGTTCAGAATGTAAGGACAAATGAAACAAGGAAAACAGTCATCAGATTTGCAGATGGGTCGGTATACTAACATCTCATGTACAAGAATCATGCCAGTGTTCCAGGGGTGGTCATGTGGGGCTGCTGCAGCCAAACACGGTGGGTTCTCATTCTAAGCGACAAGCCGACCATCCTCCATTCCCCAAACTATGCAAAATCTAACACATTGCAGCAGCAGGCACTGCCAGCCACTGATGCACATCAGCTCACTTCACGGCTCTCAACTTCCATTTTCTCACATGTAAGATGAAAGTCATGCCTGTAATGAGGACCAAATGAGACCGAGGATGGTTGTGTGTTGTAAGCCATATGGCTCTCCAGAACACAAGACTTTTTACCATCACTAAGTAGCAGGCACACACAGCGGCCTGTTCAGAAGCCCAGGGCAGAGGTTCACTGTCCTGTCCCCAGGCCAGGGGGCTCCAAATTATTCCAGATGAGTACACCACAGGGCCCACTCAAAGCTAGGAGGCTGGGCACCCGGGCTCACTTCTTCACAGCCCCTCACAGCCAGCAAGCAGCCACCAGAGAATCGCAGAGTCACAGCAAAGCAGGGCGGGGGCTTAACTGAAAAAGACATTCCAGCCTCCCCATCTCAGCTGCAGTCCCCCAACCGAATCCTCACGTGGAGTGGCTGCTGGGAATTTCTGGACCCAGGGAGAAGAAATGGCTGCACGGTTAATCCAGGGAGATCCTCAAGTCCTGTGCACATCCCACTCCAAGGGAAAACCTCAATTCGTACTCTCTTTCCAGTGACAAGGGATATTGCCACAAGCCTTGTCAAATGATTTACTATCTTTTATAGTCATATCCCCTGGTAGTGTAGTGGTTAAAAAGCTCACAGCTAACCCAAAGGTTGGCAGTTTGAACCCATCAGCCACTTCATGGGAGAAAGATGAAGCAGTATGCTTCTGTAATGATTTACAGCCTTGGAAACCCCACGGGGTTTCTGCTCTGCCTTACAGGGTGGCTATGAGATCAGAATTGACTCGATGTCAAAGGGTTTGGGTTTGGTTAGTCAAATCCCAGAGTAGAAAAAACCTGGCTATGGAATGGCTGAGTGCTGGGAAGCACAGCCCCAGAGCTCTTACCAGGGCCTACAGACTCAACGGCAGGGGTTTGGCTTGGTTCGGTAGAGACCTTATGGAAGGGGGAAGAGAGCAGCCAAAGAACGTGGCTTGAGGACCAAGGAAAATTTCCAAATGGTACAGACGCCAGTCAGCCCCCATTAGCCCTCTGGCTAAACACCTGCTCCCCTCCAAGGCTGCACCAGACACGGTACCTAACGTCCCTGCCCAAAAACTGGCACACAGGCGGCACTCTTCATAGCCGCTAATCTGACTAAGTAATGACAGCTTCTAGCAGGCTCCTGGGTGAAGTCCCTCTCACCCGCCTCATCGCCTCCCTCCCTCTGCCAGGAAGCCATAAACAACATATGCTGCTGATTAAGGCTGGAGAAGACATACCACGTGAGCCCTAACCCAGAGGGACAGGCTTCGCTTCTAGCTGTTGTTTGTTTCCCCCCCCCACTGAACCTCCAACATGGCCCGAAGCACCAGAATAACCAGGCAGAAGCTTAGGGCTCCCCAGTCCACCCAGAAGGGCCACGGAAGAGACTGTTCCCACCTAACCTGGGCACATTCTGAAGGACAGAAACAAATCTGGGAAGACAACAAAGTTTTCATCAAAAATTAAACACCCTACAACCCCTTCAATAAGCAGCTCTAAAGATCTTATAAGTGTTTTTGACCATTTTGTTCCACATTTTCCTAAAGGAAATCTGACCACCAGCTGGATGTTTGAAAACTGACTATGAGAACATCTTCATTCACATTTCATTGATTCTGCCGCCCACAGCTCGGAAACCACACACTGTGAATGCAGGTGGGACTTCCCAGTGATGAGGACCCACCAAATGATCGCAGTCCACTTCAGAAAGTGAACTACGAGTGTGGTGTCGAGGGTGGACTGGAGGCAGAGAGAACAGGGGAGGACCAAGAGCTAAGAACAACGATAGCCATGAACACAGAGCTGCAGGAGAGCAGACAGGCCACAGGCCATGGAGCACTAGAGCCCGGAACTCACCAGGGTCACGGGACAGGCAGAATGCCTTCCAGGTGTCTGGCCTGGACACCGCCAAGGGGGTCAGAGAGGGGGAGTGAGCAGACAGAGCACGCAGGGGAATGCTGGGAAAATGGGGGCGTAAAAGACCATCGTTCTGACCCACCCCCACAGACACAACCACAAACACAACAAGGAAACGGTGCTTGGCTGTGAGGGCTCCGAACCGAGAGCAGAGGACAGCATCAAGGAGGGGCAGACGGTCAAGAATCACAAATCAACTAGGAGTTGCGTTCGGTAGGAAAATCACGTCTCCCACTGTCCTGGTCCCTGTCCCTCCCCCAAGCCGTGGGGCCACTGGCTGCTGTGAATTGAGGAAGTGGCCCCAGAAAAGAAGCCTGTTCTAACGCCAGTGAAGCGGACCTCCCACATCCAGACACTGGAGGCTGCACACCTCTGTGAACTGCTCCCGGAGGGCCCCCCGCAGCCCAGTCTGCTCTCACAGTCCACCTCCACCTGCCTCCCTGCACACCTCAGGGCTCAGGGCCTGAAACCAACAGCAAGGCCTCCTGTGGGGTCTCCTCAGGTCTGCCTGCTCCCCCTCCTGGTCAGTGTGGAGGACTGCTGGGCTGCTGTGTGCGAGGAAGCAGGATCTTGAGTGGAGGCTCTGCCCACAGCCCACACACTATGGGGCAGGCTGTGATAGCAGCAAGGTGGAACAGTGTTGAAGCACTTGGCTGCTAACCAAAAGGTCAGTGGTTCAAATCCACCAGCTGCTTCACAGAAGAAATATGAGGCAGTCTGCTTCCATAAAGATTTACAGCCTTGGAAACCCAATCGGGGTTGCTATGAGTCAGAATCGACTCAGTGACAGTGAATTTATTTTTTTTGGTTTTGTGATAGCAACAAGACAGACCTCTATGGATGTCCATTCAGTGTGACACCCCCTCCCTCAAAGTGGTAACTGTGGGCTGCTGGACTGATACAAACTCCAACAGAAGGTTCCCTGCAGTAGAGTCAGGAGGTGGGTCACCCAAGCGGAGTCTGCTCTTCCAACCACCACAAAATGTTATATGTTACTGAAGTTAAGCTGGTACCAACTTACCCTGGAATGATATAAATACAAGCTTTTAAATATTGTATTCACAGTAACCAGTAAAATTATTTTAAAAAAAAATACATGAAAGGAAAGGAAAAGGGAACCAAAAAAGTTTACTACAATAAACCAACAAAATACAAAACAAGCAGTACTAAAGGACAAAGACAGAGAAAGTTAAGACACAAAAAACAGGTAACAAAAGAAGTCACTACTTATCAGTAAGTACAGTGAACGTAAATGGACTAAATGACCAATCAAAAGGCAAAGAATGGCAGAATGCATTAAAAAAACATGATCCAACTATACACTATTTACAAGAGACCCACCTTAAACCCAAGGACACAAAGAGGTGACCAGCTACCGATCCCAACCACTCAGAAAGGGATCAAAATTGGAGATCCTAGATAGAGTGGGAGAAAAATGTGGAAAAAAATTCAAAAATCATAAGAAGGACCAGGCTTACTAGTCTGATAGAGACTGGTGAAACCCCCAAGACTATGGGGCCCTAGTCACCCTTCAGTGGAAATGAACTCACTCTCATGGCTTACGAGCTGAACACTTACACCAGGGAGATGCACTCCTTAGAACAATCAACCATGGGAGACTAGAAGGGCAGCATCTGCACAGGGAGAAAGGTAGGGAGGCAGGAATGCATAGGAAAGAAGGACACAGGGAAAGGGTAAGAGGAAGTGGGAGGTAAGCTGTTACACTGCAGTGAATGTAACCAGTGTCACAAAACAAAATGTGTGAAATGTTGAATGTAAAACAATTATGCTTTGTAAAATTTCACCCAAATTACGATAAAAAGTTAAAAATAACATAAATTCAGGAAAAAGAAAAGACTAATTAATTAATTAAATGGGAGTTCATAAAAATTTAAAACTTCTGCTGTCAAAAGACTTTACTCAAAATGGGAAAAGACAAGCTACCTACTGGGTGAGTATCTTTGGAAACCATACATCCAACAAGAATCTAATAACCAAAATGTATATGAAACTTCAATAATTTAGTAACAAAAAGACAATAACCCAGTCATTAAATGGGCAAAGGACTTGAATAGACAATTCACCAAAGAGGACATTCAAATGGCCACCCAACACATGAAAAGATACTTAGCGTCATCAGTCATCAGAGATATAATTCAAAACCACGATGAGATACCATTACACTCCTACTAGGATGGTTAAGATTAAAAAAAAAAAAGTTGGCAAGAATGTGGAGAAACTGGAATGCTTACACATTGCTGTGAGAATGCAAAATGGTACAGCCACTGTGGAAAACTGTGTGACAGTTCCTCGAGAAACTAACAACAGAACTACCATGACCCAGCAATTCCATTCCTAGGTACATTCCCAAAAGACCTGAAAGCAGAAAGTCAAACAGAGACTTGTACACCAATGCTCACTGTAGCACTATTCACAGTAGCCAACAGGTGGAAATAAGCTAAATGCCCATCAAAGATGGATGGATAAACAAAATGTGGACCATCCATACAATGGGATACCCGCTCAGCCGGGAGAAGAAGTCTTGATGTATGCTTCAGTGTGGATGGAGCTGGCAGACACTATGCTGACAGAAACAAGTCAATCACAAAAAGACAAACACTGTACGACCTCACTTATGTAAGAAAGTTAAGAAAAGGAATGTGTACCAAGACCAAGGTTTATTAGTGGTCACCAGGGGCGAGGGCAGTTAATAGTGATAAAAACAGCACCTTGATGAAGGGTAAGGTTACAGAGCTATTGCTGTAACTGCTGGCAGTAAGCTGTATATTTGTAAAAAGTTGTATTGGTAAAAAAAAAAAAAAAAGTGTGTGTGTGTGTGTGTGAGGTGCACACATGATCCATTAACCAAGAAGGAGATGCTGGAAGAACAGGGTTGAAGGTAAGTTGAGGGTAACGTTCTTATGCAACAGCTGGTTGGCAATGACCCCTACAGACAGGCAATGACCAGAGTAGCCTAGGGCATCAGGGCCGCCATAGGCCCAACCTTCAAGGAAGAATTAAATTCACCCAGCCTTCTTCTTTTCCTAGCTCCATTCTAACAAGGCTCAGACTAGACAGTTTATTAATTTATAAAATACAGTGGATAGGCGGCCTCTTCAAGAAACGGCAGCTTCTGGCACTCTCCACCTCCGGCACCCTTTCTCCATCTCTCCCCAGAAGCCCCTCCAGCTCAGGCCTCCCTGACTCACCAGCTGGATCTCAACAGCAGTCATGGGCCTGTGATTCAGCAGCTGAAGCTTCTCAGCTCTGTCAAAAGAAAAGCACAAAACACTTAAACATCCCATACCCGTGAAGAGTCCTGACCAAGCTTTTAATAGACTAGTTTATCAGATGAGAAATGGGAGAATGCTCTGCCACCCAAGCAGTTTAAAAAGCAAAGGGAGAAGCACTTGGCACCCGGCCTTCAGTTTCTCCAACCATGAAAGGAGAGAATGGGGACAGGACAGCTGACGTCGGTTTACGTCTAATGTGTGTTAGAATCCTAGAAGGCACGGAGGCATGGACTGTGAGGAAGCAGCAGAGATGGAGAGTGACGGAGCATACTCGGAACTGTCATTTCTACTTGGAAAGTGTGAAGAAAATGTTTCCTCAATGCAAACTACAGAGTAAAGATTAACAAAGTCACCTTGGCTGGTGAGTCAGGGCTTAGAAGGAGCTGAGATGATGAAATGATACTCAGCTCTGACCCGTTACCTTAGTTACAAAAACAAGGACTATAAGGGAGCAGGAGTGTACCTGCCAGAGTACAAGGTACAGTCCTCTGCCCTCGAAGAGCTGCCGGTCCAGTCAGAGAAAGAAAACAAAAGCTTGCATACTGTAACAGCAAAGGTTTTGGGAATAGTTAAAGACAGTAATTACCTCACAAGAGAACTGTATGTTGGCTCTTACAGGAAAAGAACAAATATAGACCACAGTTTATGGATGGCAGGTGGGAGTGAGAGGAAGGGTGAAAGGGGAGTCAGGCTTGGGGGGCACTGGGTTTCTGTTGAGGGTGCTGAAATAACTGGGGAAGAGGAGTGAAAGTTGTACAACATGATGAACACCATCAGTCACTGAACTGTACACGGAGGCATGGCTGAGATAATGTGTTTTGTTATGTGTATTTCACCACAATACATTTTTACAAGGGAAAAGACCAGCTTCAACTACCACCCCTGAGCAGTGAAGTTACCACCTGACAGGCACGTGGTTTGGAGCTGAAGAGGAACAAGGGGAGGACTAAGGTGCACCCAACAGTGGGCTTTTCCATCACCTCATTTGCATGTGAAAGCTGGACGATAAATAAGGAAGCCTGAAGAAGAGCAGATACCTCTGAATGATGGCATTGACAAAAAGTACTGACTACACCACAGACTGCCAGAAGAACAAACAAATCAGTCTCGGAAGCAATACATCGGACTGCTTCTTAGAACCAAGACTTCGTCTCATGTACTCTGACCTGTTAGCAGGAGGGACCAGTCCCTGGAGAAGGACATTATGTTTGGTACCACAGAAGGTCAATGAAAAAGAGGAAGAGCTTCAACGAGACAGACTGACACGCTGGCTCAAACAAGGGGCTCCAGTATAGCCAAGGATCCTGAGGACGGTGCAGGAGTGGGCAATGTTTTGTTCTGTTGTTCACAGGGTAACTAGGAGTCCAGACTAACTCGAGAGCACCGAACAACAGGCCATTTTAACCTGTCCTATGAGGACCCCTCTTGCTTTCCTGGTTTTCCTTGTATCTGGGCTTCCCTTCGTGTCACCAGACACGCTGACACCTGTGAGGTCTGGCAAAGCTGAACTGGAATATAATTAGTTGGCTTTAGTGAGGATGAGTCACTTCCCGTGCACAATTAAGTTAGTGTCAGCTGATCTTATTTCTTTAAATATATCTGTCTCCTCCTCACCATTCCTCCTAGCCACTTCAACCCTTCTTGGTCAGAGGACAATGGCCACCATCCTCACAGGTATGGCACTTGTTCAATCTGTCTTCACTTTTTTTTTTTTATTTTTAAGTAATCCCTCGCCTCCCCTCCCAGCCCTGGTAACCAATCTTCATTCTTACAAATAAAAACAGTTGCCATCAAGTGTATCAGAACAGAACTGTGTTCCATAAGGTTTTCAATGGCTGAGTTTTGGGGACTGATCACCAGGCCTTTCTTTGAAGATGCCTCTGGGTGGACTGGAACCGCCAGCCTTTTCATTAGCAACCAAACATGGTCTGTCTGCACCACCCAGGGACTCCTTTACAAATAAAATGTCCTTTAGAAAAGTAAAAACCATGTCTTGCTTAACCTTAACCTGCTTGTAATCCTTTCACTGTGGTATGAACCTGGACCTCCTAATTCAAGCCCCAGATCCCCAGACCACCTCAAATCCAGCCTGGATCCATCTCTCTAGGTTTGCAGCCTCCATTCTCCCTAAGCTCTCATGTCCCAGCCATGCCAAACTGTATGCACCGCACCATCAGGCTGTTTTCTGATCCTGTGCCCTTGCACCAAGTACTCCCTCTGCTTAGCAAGCATTTCCTCGCTGGCATCTGGCTGATCTTCCATCCTATCAAGACCAGTGTCACCCCACTGGTGTTGACAGGATGATACACTCCATTCTGATATCTCAGCGCCTCTCCACAGTGCGCCATCTAGCACAGCACTTATAGTTTATTCGTCTTGGTATCCCCAAGACCTAAGACCAAGCTGGCACAAGACAAGCGTTAACATGAAGGATGACTGAAAGACAGCTTGGGGAAGGCTGCCTTCCAGGAGAAAGCCATGGGAGAGCGAATTGGAGAGTTCCAGGAGGCACAGGGCAGGGTTCCAGGCCCTGAAAGAGACTGGGTAACTACACCCAGAGATGGGAGAAACTTGACAGCCCTTCTACTCTGTGCTCTTCCGGTACCAAGGCACATGTCTCACACATGGTTCCAAACCCCAAGAGTGATCTGTGCCCAGAAAGTCCCTCCGGGGTGCTGCAAGTTACAAGCCTCCCAAGCTGGTTTCAGGGCTCGAAAGGAAGTACTCTCACTATTCCAGGCAGAAAGGCTGTGCGTCTCAGGTAGGGGAGCTCAGGGCAAGAGCTGGGGCTGCAAGCCAGGCTGCAAGCCCTGGAGGACCGAGTACCTCAGGCGAGACTTAACATGACCAAGACTCAGTGCTCCAGGGCACGGAGCAGGCTTCCCCAGTGACAAGGAGTTGGCGCAGGGCAACTTCAAATCAAATGCCAACACTACCACTTTGCTGAATAGGACTATGAAGTTAAATAAAATATGGTTCCCACCCACCCTCAAGGGCCCTTTGTTTAAAAAAGGCGATATTTAAATGAATTAATGGAGCACCAGTTTCTACCAACAGCACTGGGCTGGTTGCGGGCTACTCGGAGTCTCCTTTCCCTGACAGGATGAGAGAGGAAAACCCTACCAGGAGTGACTCGGACGCTGGAATGAAAGAGCACCTTGGCGGGTCCCGTTAGACACGTGGTTCCTCTCTTACGCCACACTGGCTAACTCTGGACGATCCAGATCTGGCTGGTACTCGGCAAACAAGCTTCTGGGTCATCAGGCACTGAAGCCACACGGGCGGATGAGTCAGCTGTCTCCAGGCCCCGCCACAGTGAAGGACGCCTGCCAGCTCCCCTGACTGGTGGGCCGTACAGCAACAGTGCCTGTAGCTTTGGCTTTTGGACAAATCATGGTTTAACCTGTTGTTAGCTGCCATCAAGTTGATTCCGACTGACAGCCCCCCCGTATGTGGAGATGAGAACTGCTCGAGAGTTTGCAAGGCTGTGACATTTCAGAAGCAAAGCCCCAGGCCTGTCTCCCGAGGTACCACTGAGGGGTCTGAAAAGCCAACTTCCTGCTAGTGGTCAAGCACTTAACCATCTGCGCCACTCAAGGGCTCCGAGATCCACGGATAACCTATGTAGAAACCCAGAAGCTGACCAGTGAATGGAAGGTGCAGAGTACAAGGTCACACAGGAGCTTTCACACCCTCAATTGGGGGTCATGAATGGAGAAAGGAAGCCCTGAGTATTATGGTCTGCTTTAAATTTATACAGATTATGGCCAGACTTGAAGATTTGGAACACTACACTGTAAAAAGTAAGACAGCATGCTCTGGAGGGATACTGGGGGTGTGGCCCCACAGCTGTTTACTAGAGAGACTGGGTGTGGGGGCAACACCATGGGAGGATCTGTCTACGAGCCAAAGAGCTCCATCCAAGATGCACCAGGGGCTGCCAGAGACCAGAAGGGACAAGGAGTGGTCTCCTGTCGAACAATCGAAAGTAAACAAAAAAAGCAGGTGGACTCAAAACATTGTTCCACCTCCTACTGTGGCGAGTAGCGACTGGAATCTTAAAAGCTTGCAAACGGCCATCTAGATGCAACGACGGGTCTCTCCTCACCCAGAGCAAAGAAGAACGAAGAAAACCAAAGATTCAAGGAAACAATTAGTCCAAGCGACTGGTACACCATGCAATCCTCAGCCTATACAACCATGAGACCAGAAGAACTAGGTGGTGCCTGGTTACCACTGTCAACCACTTGGAGGGGGATCTATGGAGAAGATCCTGGATAGAGTGGGAGAACATTGTGGAACAAAACTCAAAATAATTAAAAAAAAAAAAAAAAAAAGGACCAGGTTTGCTGGTCTGATAGAGCCTGATGGAACCACTAAGACTATGGCCCCTAGCTGCCCTTCAGGTTCTAGAATTGAACTCACTCCTGCGGCTTCCAACCAAACAAAAGACAGGCATATGAGCTGAACATTTGCATTAGGTATATACACTCCTTCGAGAGACTGACCATGGGAGAATAGAAGGGCTGTGCATGCACAGGGAGACAGCTCAGGGGGTAGGAGTGCATGGAGGGAAGGACACAGGGAAGAGGTAGCTATGGGGATGAAGTGGGAGGGGAGCTGTTGCATTGTGGGAAATTGCAGTCAATGTGATGAGACAAAGTGTATGTGAGCTGCTGTATGGAAAGTGAATTTGCTCTGTAAACTTTGACCCAAACCACAACTAAACAAAACAACACAAAACAAGCAGGTGGACTGCAGAAGGCACAGAACTCCAAACCAGGCCGCATAGGGGTGTGAGTGTCTTGGCACTCTTGTCTCTCTCACGTCCTGAGTCCAGGGCAGGCCCTTAGCAGAGCTGTAGCAGTGGCTGTACCAAAAACCAAAACAACAACAAAAAAAAACAAACCCAAACTCACTGCCATTAAGCTGATTCTGACTCAGAGCAACCTAAAACTCCAAGAGACCATCCAT